CTCCTGCCTCAGCCTCCTGAGTAGCTGGGATTACAGGCACGTGCCACCATGCCCAGCTAATTTTTTGTATTTTTAGTAGAGATGGGGTTTCACCATGTTGACCAGGATGGTCTCAATCTCTTGACCTCGTGATCCACCCGCCTCAGCCTCTCAAAGTGCTGGGATTACAGGCTTGAGCCACCGTGCCTGGCCACCTCCTAACTTTTGTAGATACCTTTTCAGGTTGGATTGAAGCCTTCTCCACCTCCTGGAAGATGGCAGACCCGGTGGCCTCCCTTCTTACTCAAGAAATCATCCCTTGCTTCGGCCTACCTGCCACCATCCAGTTGGACAATGGTCCAGCATTTATGGCTCAAGTAGTCCAGCTAGTTGCCAAGTCCCTCAACATCTCCTGGAAACTGCACATCCCTTACCATCCTCAGTCATCGGGTAAAGTTCAACGGGCCCACAGCATCCTCAAAGACCACTTGGCCAAACTTGCTATTGAGGTAAAACTCTCTTGGCCCACACTCCTACCTCTTGCCCTGGTCCGGGTCCGGGCCACCCCATGGCGGCCAACGGGCCTTAGCCCCTTTGAATTGCTGTACAGCTGGCCTTTCCTGGTTTCTCACAACCTCCCTGTAAACCCCCCTCTACTGGCTTCCTACCTTCCCTTCCTCTCCCTCCTCCACCACCTGTTAAGGGAGCATGCAGACCGCTCCCTCCCTGTTGTTCCAGGACCAGAGGATTCCCACCCAGGGGCGCCTCTCCAACTGGGCGACAGCATTCTCCTCCGAGAACTCAAACCAGGATCCTTGCAACTCAGGTGGTTGGGACCCCACATTGTTATCCTAACCACCCCCACAGCAGCCAAACTCCTGGGTCACACTTCATGGCACCATGTGTCCTGCGTCAAATTGGCCCCCCAAAATGATCAGTGGAAATCTGAACCCCTGGGCCCCACTCGCCTCTGCCTCACCCGTGGCCCCAACCCACTACCCCCTAACCCTTCAGAGCCTCCTTCCCTTTCCCTTGTGTGCCTGTCACCTTGGTCTCGCAGTTAGAGGTGTACGGACAGGCTGAACTTCTATCTCTCCTTCCACCTTCCCCTAATCACTGAGACAGACGAGCAGTCTTCCTCCCAATGGTCATTGGTCTCTCTCTAGCATACCTCTCTGGGTAGCGGCGCCGTAGGCTACAGTGTCACCTGAGCCACGCAACTAAAGGACAAGCTTCGCATGGCTATCGAAGCATCAGCTGCCTCCCTGGCCTCCCTCCAGCAACAAATCATGTCACTGGCTCAGGTAACTCCCCTGAACCGACAGGCGCTTGACCTGTTGACAGCAGAAAAGGGAGGAACCTGGCTGTTTCTTCAGGAGCAGTGCTGCTATTACATCAATGAAACAGGCCTTGTAGAAGAAAAGATCAACACTATCACCTCCAAAAGGACCTCCACAAGAAGCAGAATGCATCAGTCTTGCTTCTTAACTGGTAGCAATCCCCCATGCTAACCTGGCTAACCCCTATTATCACTCCCATCATTGTAGTTTGTCTTCTGTTAATGCTAGCCCTTTCTCCTCAAGTTTTTACAGGCCCGCATGAAGGAAATTTCCAGGGGTGGCTGTAAATCAGATGCTACTTCACCCGTGTGTCCGACTCCCAACTGAGGCACCAGCCAACTGACTCTTCTCCCTCACTCCGCCCCTATTCAGCAGGAAGTAGCCAAAAAGAAGCAGCATCCTATATCATCAAGAGTTGCAATGTAAGGCCAGCTGCCTTGCTGGGAGGTAGGACACACTCACCACTGCACTCAGCACCTGACTCTGCACCCGGCACCAGGCTCGGCACTCGGCACCTAGCTCTGCCGTATGGCTCCCTTGGAAGACTCCGGCTAATGCAACCCTGGCCGGCTCTCCCACCAGAGAAATCTGCCCAACAACCCACCAACCAATAGGCCCGCCCCGTCTCAATCCTGCTTCCCTGGACCCAATCAGAGCATCCAGCTGTTGCTTGTTCCTTCTAGCCATAAAACCCCCCCCCGCCCCAGGAAGTCAGCGCGATTTCTCTGGCCCCCTTTCCCCTGACCAGAGAACCTCACCCAGGAGCTGAATAAATTGGCATTTAATTTTCTTACACTGGCCTCAGTTTCCTCATTTTAAACTTGGCAATAACCCTTACAATGGAGCCACTGTTGCTAGGGGAAATTCCACATAATTTGACCATTATATGCCTATTTATCCTTATCTCAATAAACCTACCCATTATTAGTTTCCTGAAGCCCAGGGGCAGAGGGTTATTGTTACTTCCAACTCTCTCATCCTCATCTCATTGCACTGTAAAGATAATAAGGGATCAAGCACAGAGAGACAGATATTTCAAACCCCTTTAAAATTTTGTTTTTCAGTTGGATACAGGAATGCAAGTTTATATAGACAGGCATCTTAGAGAGACTCTATAAAGAAGATAGATTCCCTTGGCTGGGCGCGGTGGCTCAGCCTGTAATCCCAGCACTTTGGGAGACAGAGGCGGGTGGATCACGAGGTCAAGAGATCAAGACCATTCTGGTCAACATGGTGAAACCCCGTCTCTACTAAAAATACAAAAATTAGCTGGGCATGGTGGCGCACGCCTGTAGTCCCAGCTACTAGGGAGGCTGAGGCAGGAGAATTGCTTGAACCCAGGAGGCGGAGGTTGCGGTGGGCCGAGATCGCGCCATTGCGCTCCAGCCTGGGTAACAAGAGTGAAACCCCGTCTCAAAAAAAAAAAAAAAAAAAAAAGAAGAAGATAGATTCCCATTCCTGCTAAATGCCAATTTGCAATTTTGCAAAGTAATTTTTAAGCACAACTGCAGCTTAAAAGCATACTATTCCCCGGTACACACATCACTGTACTTTTTTTTAGCAAAGAGTCTGTTTCCTTTTCCATTTATGCCCTGAGACACTGGAGAATTTTCCCCTAGAAAAAGCCTCTAGTTGATCCTGAATCTCTGCTCATTGTAGAACTCTTGACTTTTGACCAATTCTGTCCTGGCACAGGACTGTGTGCAGGATAAATGTGCCCACCCAAAACATTCACCTACAAATTACAGAAATTGAAGGTCTGGTTTTTACAATATGAGTCCCTGAAACAGACTGAAAACTTTTAATAACATCCCGAGGGAATGTAGAAAAAGAATACATAGGCATTGTGCCCAAGTTTGCACTGATATAAAATTAGCTTTGCACTGCTGACGAGAATGGACAGCATAGAGAGGAGTATAAGTGAATTGATGGAGCTGCAAAACGCAACACGAGAACTTCGTGAAGCATGCACAAGCTTCAACAGCTGAATTGACCAAGCAGAAGAAAGGATATCAGAGGTCGAAGATCAACTCAATGAAATAAAAAGAGAAGGCAAGAACGGAGAAAAAAGCACAAAAAAGAATGAACAAAATCTTCAAGAAATGTGGGACTATGTGAAAAGACCTAATCTACGTCTGATAGGTGTACCTGAATGTGATGAAGAGAATGAATCCAAGCTGGAAAATACTCTTCAGGATATTATCCAGGAAAACTTCCCCAACCTAGCAAGGCAGACCAATATTCAAATCCAGGAAATACAGAGAACACCACAAAGATATTCCTCAAGAAGAGCAACCCCAAGGCACATAATCGTCAGATTCACCAGGGTTGAAATGAAAGAGAAAATGCTAAGGGCAGCCAGAGAGAAAGGTCGGGTTACCCACAAAGGGAAGCCCATTAGACTCACAGCAGATCTCTCAGCAGAAACCCTACAAGCCAGAAGAGATTGGTGGCCAATATTCAACATCCTTAAAGAAAAGAACTTTCAACCCAGAATCTCCTATCCAGCCAAACTAAGCTTCATAAGTGAAGGAAAAATAAAATCCTTTGTGAACAAGCAAGCACTCAGAGATTTCATCACCACCAAACCTGCTCTACAAGAACTCCTGAAAGAGGCTCTACACATATAAAGGAACAACCAGTACCAGCCACTCCAAAAGCACACCAAATGGTAAAAGAGCATCAACACAATCAAGAAGCTGCATCAACTAACCAACAAAACAGCCAGGTAGCATCAAAATGACGGTATCAAATTCACACATAACAATACTATCCCTAAATGTCAATGGACTAAATGCCCCAATCAAAAGACACAGACTGGCAAATTGGATAAAAAGCCAAAACCCATCAGTGTGCTGTATCCAGGAAACCCATCTTACATGAAATCATTATACTACAAGGACACGTGCACACGAATGTTCATTGCAGCACTGTTTACAATAGCAAAGACCTGGAACCAACCCAAATGCCCAACGATGATAGACTGGATAGGGAAAATGTGGTACATATACACCATGGAATATTACGCAGCCATCAAAAACGATGAGTTCACGTCCTTTGTAGGGACATGGATGAACCTGGAAACCATCATTCTCAGCAAACTGACACAAGAGCAGAAAATCAAACACCGTATATTCTCACTCATAGGTGGGTGTTGAACAATGAGAACACATGGACACAGGGAGGGGAGCACTACACACTGGGGTCCATTGGGGGGAAATGGGCGAGGGGCGGGGGGGTGGGAAGAGATAGCATGGGGAGAAATGACAGATACAGGTGAGGGGACGGAAGGCAGCAAACCACACTGCCAAGTGTGTACCTATGCAACAATCTTGCATGTTCATCACATGTACCCCAAAACCTAAAATGCAATAAAAAAAAATAAAAAAATAAAAAATAAAAAAATAAAAAATTAGCTTCGCTTTGAATACACTGCTTTGCTTTTAGTTTAATAAGCTGTACCATGGAGATCGGGCAGTGCGGTACAAATTTTCCACTGTTGAATGAGCACCCCAAAATTCACTGTAAATTCTTTCTGGAAGTCCACAGCAATAGAAATAATTCCAAAACTCACACACACAGACATGTTCTTCTAAAATCTTTCTATTCTCCTTCTCACTCAAATGGAAGAGAAAGAAGAACAGTATAAAAAAGGTACAGAAAGCCATGTGAGTGAGCTAAATGCAAAATTGCAGGAGAGAAAGGGAAGTTCACATCTTGGAAGAAAAACTTAAATCAGTGAAAAGTTCACAATCAGAAACATTAATAGTACCCAGATCAGCAAAAAATCTGGCAGCATGTACTGACCAAGAAAAAGCAGAGTCCCAAGACTGTGTGCAGAAGATGTATGAAGAAGAAATCAGTGTTTAACAAAGAAATTTAACTGAAAAAGAAAAGCTATTGCAGATGCTGGAGCAAGAAAAAGAAGAGAGACTTTCTTCTCATTCTGAAATGCAATGCCAATACCAGGAGCTCTTAATAAAGCTAGAACATGGTGAAGCAAAGCAAGGTGAAGATCAAGTTATGATAGATCATCTTCAAGAAGAACTTGAAGAAAAAAGCAAGAAATATTCCTTGATAGTATCCCAACATGTGGAAGAAGGGGGAGGTAAAAATAACACAGAGGCAAAGCAAAACTTGGAAAATGTGGTTGATGATGTTCAGAAAATCCTCCAGGAGAAGGAACTAACCTGTCAGATCTTGGAGCAAAAGATAAAAGAGCTGGATTCCTGCTTATTAAGACAGAAAGAAGTGCATAGAGTTGAAATGGAAGAGGTGACCTCAAAATACGAAAAATTACAGGCTTTACAACAACAGATGGATGGAAAAAATAAACCCACAGAACTTCTGGAGGAAAACACTGAAGAAAAATCCAAATCACATTTGGTCCAATCCAAATTGTGTAGTAATGTGGAAGACCAGCACAATGACCTCGAATTTAAATTAGCAGGGGCAGAACAGGAGAAACAGAAACTGGGCAAGGAGATTGTTAGATTTCAAAAAGACCTTCGAATGTTGAGAAAGGAGCATCAGCAAGAATTGGAAATTAGTACTAAAGAAAGAATATGAACAAGAAAGGGAAGAGAAAAATTAAACAGGAGCAGGAAGATCTTGAACTGAAACACAATTCCACATTAAAACAGCTGATGAGGGAGTTTAATACTCAGCTGGCACAAAAGGAACAAGAGCTGGAAATGACCATAAAAGAAACTATCAATAATAAGGTCCAGGACGTAGAGGCTGAACTTTTAGAAAGCCATCAAGAAGAGACAGATCAGATACTTAAAAAAATTGCCGAGAGAGATGATGATCTAAAATGAACAGCCAAAAGATATGAAGAAATTCTTGATGCTCGTGAAGAAGAAATGACTGCCAAAGTAATGGACCTGCAGGTTCAACTTGAGGAGCTGCAGAAGTAATATCAGCAAAAGCTAGAGCAGGAGAACCCTGGCAATGATAATGAAACAATTATGGAGCTACAGACACAGCTAGCACAGAAGACGACTTTAATCAGTGATTCGAAATTGAAAGAGCAAGAGTTCCGAGAAAAGATTCACAATTTAGAAGACCGTTTGAAGAAATATGAAAAGAATGTATATGCAACAACTGTGCGGACACCTTACAAACGTGGAAATTTGTATTATACTGATGTATCACTCTTTGGAGAATCTACCGAGTTTGAGTATTTGCAAAAAGCGCTTTTTGAGTATATGATGGGTCCTGAGATTAACACCATGGCAAAAGCTATAACCACTGTACTGAAGTTCCCTGATGATCAGACTCAGAAAATTCTGGAAAGAGAAGATCCTCAGCTAATGTCATGGCTCCGCTCTTCATCTTGAAGAAGAGCGCCACTGGGCGACTGCTGCTTGGAAACGTCCACAATTGCTACTCTGCGAGCGAGATTGTCATTCCGGGCTCTTCATGTAGCCAAAAGACCAGGAGAAATCTGGCCCGCAGGTATGTTGCAGATGCCTCTAAAATAGATTTTATCAGTGGAGAAATGGTGATTGATTTTTCTTCAGTTTTCTGTTGGGAAGAGTTTTTTGTTGTTTAAAATAAATTTTGAATGACTTAACCTGCTTTTATGGGCTTACATAATATTCCTTTCTTCCATTCTTTTTAAAGAACTGTTTACCTTTCCTATTTATTTTTAGGGCGATTTTTAAAAAAGACTTGTGCAATACATTTTGAGGTGAAACTTAGTGGATTTTTTCTGATAAATTACAGCATTTAATTGACTATTTTATTCAGGTTGATTTGTTGAATATTTGCTAAAGACCTGTTCTTTAAGCTATGACATATAATAAATCCCAAATGGCAGTACCTCATTGTTAACTTAGCTTTTGTACTTATATTTTTCAGAGGAAAAAACACTACTGTAAATTGTGAATAGCTAGTACATAACTATTGTATGCAAATCTGTGACTATTGGCAGTGTTGTCTCTGAGAAAAAGAAAGTTTACTATATAAAAAATTATCTTATGAAATTTATTATTTGTAATTATACTTTTTAAAATAATCACTTGTTATGTCTCATACATACATAAAAAGCTAATGAAACTTTTTTTTTTTTTTTTTTTTTTTTCTGAGACAAGAGTTTCACTCTTGTTGCCCAGGCTGGAGTGCAGTGGTAAGGTGTTGGCTCACTGAAACCTCTGCCTTCTGGTTTCAAGCGATTCTCCTGCCTCAGCCTCCCAAGTAACTAGGATTACAGGCAGTCACCACCACGCCTGGCTAATTTGTGTATTTTTAGTACAGACAGGGTTTCACCATGTTGGCCAGGCTGGTCTTGAACTCCTGATATCATGATCCACCCGCCTTGGCCTCCCAAAATGCTGGGATTACAGGTGTGAGCCACCACACCTGGCCAAAAGTCTGATTTTTTATTTAAATAAAACCTTTAAGAGTCTATAATTTAAAGCAATACCAGTGATTATTTCAGAAATTACATATGATCCATTTTAGCAACTAAAAGCAGATGTACACTACTGGCTAATGGGAAATGTTTTCTTGCTCCTCTCACAGGAGATGGTCTCCCTTATTATTTTCCGTGGATGTTGTCATGTCTGTTTGTAATATCTGGAAACCTGCCAGCTATCATGTTGCCAACCAACATTGGGAAGTACAGAGCAGAAAATGGAAGAAATTTAGCCTCTGAAGATTTAACTTTGCTGATGAATCAAAAATATCTGGAGCCCGCTGTCCCTCTGAAAGCACGTTGTATGAATCAATATACTTCCTCATTGTTCTAGCCAGTGTGGTATTTTCATTTCTACTGAGTATACCCTAACTGAATCGAACAACTAAGGGTCATGATTCATAATGGGAACTGGAGATGCAGAGATAAAGCTGATTCCATCACAGTCATCAAAACCAGCTCACTTTCTGGTGGGGAAGAAACACATATATACACACACACACACACACACAGAGAGAGAGAGAGAGAGAGAGAGAGAGAGAGAGAGAGAGAGAAAGTCATGGGCCAGGTGTTAATTGTTGTCCTACAAACTGAACAGATGCTCTCTGAAAATAGACACATCAAATACATCCAATGCCAGGAGCAAGGAGCAAAGAGAAATTCCAAGAATATACAAATAGGCAACAATCAGAAAATGGAAAATTAAACCATAATTTTCAAACTATAATTTTCAACAATCAGATACCACTATATTACTTACCAGAGTAATAAAAATATTCTTTAAACTAATGACGTCAAGTATTATCAAAGATATGTATAAAGTAGAACATTCATATACTGCTGGTGAGAGTGTAAGTTGGTTCATTTGTTTGGAAAACTGTTTAAAAGAATTTAAACTTACTAAAAAATTGAACAGACGTGTATCCCATGACCACACCCCAGCAATTCAACTGCCAGTATATACAGAAAGAAATGTGGACATGTGTACTCCAAAAGACATGTACAAGTATGACCATAATAGCCCAATATGGAAGTTCTGAATTCCAACACATTGTTCTCAAGAACACATAATAAAGAATGTTCAATAAGGGGCCATGTTAGGATGCTTCTTTTATGTGGATCTGGGCTAATACAACATGGCTATGAAGGTTCCTTAAAGGAACTGTGCTGAACACTCAATAAATCTGTTATGTCTGAAGTAGGAATTAAAAGACAAAAAAAAAAAAAAAAAGAGAGACAGATGGCACTATAAAAGTGATTGAAGATCAAACAAAATAACCTAATAGGATCACACAATATTAAAGAACAGGTAATTGCAATACCAAAACAAACAAAAATACAATAAAAAAGAAAACTTATATAATATCATTCATGAGATGCAAAAATCCTAAATAAAATAGCAAACTGAAATCAAGCAATACATCTGAAGGACACCATGACTAAACTGGGAATATCCAGGAATGAAAGAAAGTCAGAGACTCTCTCAGTATAAATTAGCACCTTAACAAATTCAATACTGTACAATTGCAGAAAGAGAGAGTGAAATGGCATTTGATAAAACTCAGGAGGCACCCCTACTTGGCTACAACAAAGATTTTTATTCATCACTGAGCGCATGATGCTACCATCCCACCACAGCTAACAACCAGACATGGTGACTGAAATTCTCTTTTGGTTATAGCAGTATTTCCCAAATACAATTTCACCTACCCGCAAAGATAATAGGTCATGGGAATCAGCATTTCCACAGTGAAGTTTGCCATATACCAGTTTAAACAAAGTCCAACCATTTTCTTCACTAGAACACTCTTTTTTTTTCTCTCTCTTCTCTTTAGTCTTTTGATAAGCTGGTAAGGTGCTTTTCTTAAGCACCTTGTTCCCTAAGAGGGGATTTAGTAGGTGCTACTTTATAAGCTTCTTTAACTATAAAATCCTGCTTCATTTTCAAGTACTAGTAAGCAGTAGTGATTCCTGAGATATAATTTCAGAAACGTTGGGATAAGGCACCATGTCTACATTTCTTGGTTAAAAGGCAAATGTGGCACCCAGAGGGAGTGGCATAATAACTAGTTACCGATGATATATCCTGTTAAAACTCCCAAAATACTCTGCTTTGTGTTACACTTATTAAAAGTGCAATTGTTGGCTTTTTATGCCTTTGAAAAAGAAAATGTGCAATCATGTGGAATGATGATCACTAGATGGTGAATGACTGAAAAGTGGTATTACGAATGCCCTATGTGCACAAAATAGAGAGCTCAGGTATAGATTTATGACAATGAACCACAGACATTTAGTTGTCAATACATTACTTTTGGTGGAACTGGCATTATTTTTAAAAAGAAATGATTTTTTAAAAGGTTGATTTCCAACTGTGTAAGTATATACACACACACTCTATTTCATCATAACTAACCTGCTTTGATGCTAGCACTAAGTCATGACAGTCACCTGGCTGAAAGTGGTTACAAGAAGCCATCTTTTTTTTTTTTGAGACGGAGTTTCACTCTTGTTACCCCAGGCTGGAGTGCAATGGTGCGCTCTCGGCTCACCGCAACCTCCACCCCCTGGGTTCAGGCAATTCTCCTGCCTCAGCCTCCTGAGTAGCTGGGATTACAGGCATGCACCACCATGCCCAGCTAATTTTTTGTATTTTTAGTAGAGACAGGGTTTCACCATGTTGACCAGGATGGTCAAGATCTCTTGACCTCGTGATCCACCTGCCTCAGCCTCCCAAAGTGCTGGGATTACAGGCGTGAGCCACCGCGCCCACCTAAGAAGCCATCATTTTTAAGATGGACTGTGATTTCCAAATAGTAAAATCCAGCCAGGAGTGGTGGCTCACATCTGTAATCCCAATACTTTGGGAGGCTGAGGCAGGCAGATCGTTTAAGACCAGGAGTTCAAGACCAGCCTGGATAACATGGTAAAACTCCGTCTCTACTAAAAATATAAAAACTAGCCAGGTATGGTGGTGCATACCTGTGGACCCAGCTACTTGCGAGGCTGAGGCACAAAAATCACTTGAACCTGAGAGGTGGAGGTTGCAGCAAGCTCAAATCACACCACTGCACTCCAGCCTTGGCAACAGAGACCTTGTCTTAAAAAAAAAAAGAAAAAGAAAAAGAAAAAAAGGATAATACATACCATATGATCACACATTTCCAAACATCATTGATCAAGGCTGACCAATCCTACAAGATATGTAATGGATCTTTATAATGGGGAGCTCCACCAGTTATCATCTTAAGTGATCAAACTTGGCACTAGTGATAGTGGGGGAAATGGATACCACCTTCTTCTGATGTATTGCAAGATGAAGTACATACCACCATCTGTGAAGTGTCCTGGTAAAATATTTTTAAGCCTCTATTTCCAACTTCATGTTATGAGAAATGTGAAGGAGAGGCCCATGTCAAATTTCACCATGAGGAAAGAAACAAATGTGTGACATTCTATAAAAAATATAATATAAAAAAGGTGTTTTGCTTTCCTAAGCTGGATTTTTTCAAGTGTCAATTTTTAGCCCAGCTTAAGGAATAAACTCTGAATAAAAATCCCCTCAAATTATTTATCCTTACTAGATCTTATCCAGAATGAACTATTTGAAATTCAAACGGATGAGTGGTTATGGGAAGCTTTTCTGAATTCATTCCACCAAATAGTTGTGCCTCTCCTAAGAACTCATCAGCAGTAATACTAACAGTAAAGACAATATGAACAATAGCTAATATGTATTGCACATAGGCTACATACCAGATACTCTTCCAAGGATATAATGCATACTAAATCCATCTAATCTCTATATTAGCATTATTAGTTACCATCAGCATTTTTTTTTTTTTTTTTTTTGAGACGGAGTTTTGTTCTTGTTTCCCAGGCTGGAGTGCAATGGCGCGATCTCGGCTCACCGCAACCTCTGCCTCCTGGGTTCAGGTAATTCTCCTGCCTCAGCCTCCCAAGTAGCTGGGATTACAGGCACACGCCACCATGTCCAGCTAATTTTTTGTATTTTTAGTAGAGACGGGGTTTCACCATGTTGACCAGAATGGTCTCGATCTCTTGACCTCGTGATCCACCCACCTCGGCCTCCCAAAGTGCTGGGATTACAGGCTTGAGCCACCGCGCCCAGCCTACCATCAGCATTTTAAACATCATGTCCAGAGGAGATAAGCGTTTTGCTCACCAGCCTACAGGTAGCATCGAGGTGAAATGGTGATGACAGTATGGTATATGCCATGGATAAAGACTTTCCTACATTTGTTACATTAACACAGTTATTCTCTAGGAAGAATTTACTGAAGTTTAACAAAGACTGAATAGTGTTGGAAGGCTTCTGTACATTTAACGTATCTGGTATAAATTATCTGATGCTGTTACAGGCATTAGAAAATGGTGATTCCCTCATTTGCCAAATCTTGCTATAGTATAAATATTCTGCTATTCTAATCAGAGAGGTGAAAGTGAAGAACTTTTTATTTAAAGTAAATTATATTGTGACATGTGTCATGTCTTGAAAACTGTGAGTCTTGTCTCTAAAATTATTTCTGGGAAAGAATAAACTTTGTTTTCAATTGCCAATCATTTATGGACTGATAATTTTGTAAAACAAAATAAGAGTGTTATAGAAATATCAAATTGCTACAAAAGTTCGAAATATTTACTCACTTTCCACATTTATCTCATGATTGATGGATGACAATTTTGTGACTGGCACCAGTTTCTGGCATTGAGTAGCATTTGTCTAAAGGCCTTCCTATAATTCTAATTCAAATGATTTCTCATATGGATGAATTCTCTGATGTGCTCTAGGATATTTACCATGTCTATAAGCCTTCTCAAATTCCGTACGGGCATAGGATTACAAAGCAGTATGAAGTCTCTGATGTGCAGCAGGAACTGAATTAAGTTTAGGTCCTTCCCACATACCTTCCATTTAAGCTGTTTAACAAATACCAATTCCCTGGTGTTAATCTTGAATAAAGATCTTCACACATTCCTTATATTTAAATGATTTTACATCAGTATAAATTGATGTCCAATAAGACTTACAGAAGTCTAAAGCCTTTTCATATTACTAATATTCAAAATATTTCTCACTAGTATGAATTTCTGGATAGCAAGATAATTGTCCATAAACAGAAATGAATGGCTTTTGCACACCCCTTACATTCACAGGGTTTCTCAAGAGTAAGAGTTCTCCTTATGTTGTTTGTACACACACACAAAAAGGTTCTTTTATAGCTTTCAATCATAAGGTTTCATCGGTATCAATTTTCTCATTTGAGTAAGTTGTCCACAGAAAGGCTTCCCCACATTCTTTATATTTGTAGGGTTTATCGTTACTATGAGTTCTCTTATGAACAAGTTTTGAGCCATGAGTAAAGGTCTTCCTGTATTCCTTACATTGATAAAGCTTCTCACCAGTATGAAATCTCTGATGAACACTAAGTTGATAGCCACTACCAAAGGCCTTCCCACAGTCTTTACATTCATAAGACTTCTCATTAGTATGGACTCTCTCATGCTTAACTAGGCTTGAACCCCAACTGAAGGCCTTCCCACATTCCTTACATTTAAAAGGTTTTTCACCAGTATGAATTTTCTGATGTTGAGTAAGGTGATAGCCACGACTAAAAGCCTTCCCACATTCTTTACATTCATAAGGTTTCTCCCCTGTATGGATTCTCTCATGCTGAACAAGGCTTGATCCACAATTAAAAGCCTTCCCACATTCCTTACATTGATAGGGTTTCTCACCAGTATGAAATATCTGATGTCGAGTAAGTTGATACCCACTACAAAAGGTCTTTCCACATTCTTTACATTCATGGGATTTCTCACCAGTATGAACTCTCTCATGTTTAACAAGACTTGAACCCCAACTAAAGGCCTTCCCACATTCCTTACATTCAAAAGGTTTCTCACCAGTATGGATTTTCTGATGTTGAGAAAGGTGATAGCCACGACTAAAGGCCTTTCCACATTCTTTACATTCATAAGGTTTCTCACCAGTATGAATTCTTTCATGTTGAATAAGACTTGATCCGCAATTAAAGGCCTTCCCACATTCCTTACATTCATAGGGTTTCTCACCAGTATGAAATATCTGATGCCGAGTAAGTTGATAGCCCCAACAAAAAGCCTTTCCACATATTTTACATTCATAAGGTTTCCTACCAGTATGGATTTTCTGATGCTGAGTAAGTTGATAGCCACGACTGAAGGCTTTCCCACATTCTTTACATTTATAAGGTTTCTCGCCTGTATGAATTATCTCATGTTTAGCAAGGCTTGAGCCCCAAAAAAAGGCCTTCCCACATTCCTTACATTTGTAAGATTTCACACCAATATGAATTTTCTGATGTTGAGTAAGGTGATAGCCACGACTAAAGGCCTTTCCACATTCTTTACATTCATACGGTTTCTCACCGGTATGGATTCTCTCGTGTTTAACAAGGCTTGATCCCCAACTAAAGGTCTTCCCACATTCCTTACACTCATAGGGTTTCTCGCCAGTATGAAACCTCTGATGCACATTGAGTTGATAGGCACTTAAATAGTTCTTCCCACATTCTTTACACTCAAAATGTTTTTCAGCTGTATGAGTTCTCTCATGTTGAACAAGTTTTGAGCCATGACTGCAAGCCTTCCCACATTCCTTACAAACATAGGGCTTCTCTGTATTACGAATTATTTGATGTGGTGTAAGAGATTCACTTTTTCTGTAAGAGGGTAATTTTTCACAGCTGATTATCATTTGACTGAAGTATCCCTCTTGATGTCCTTTTAATCCCTCAAATATGCTTTTGCACTTCCAATTATTTCTGAAAATGTATGCCTCAAGGCCAGGGATTTTACTTTTTTCCTTCATCTCCCATTGAGAAAAATTTATTTCAAAAATATCCTTTTCTGAAAATATTTTTTTGGTGTCACATGTTGTTGACTCCAAATCTGAAAGAAAACAAGAAAACCACACATTTTATTTCCTTCACTAGAGAAAAAAAAAAAAAAAAAAAAAAAAAAAAACCTACAGCAGAAATAAAAGACAAATTAGGAGACTTACTGATCTCACTCCTGAGCATTGATTTTACAGCTCTTGTGATCTTGATGTTCTGATTTTATAGTTTTCTGGAGGATTCCACAGAGATCACTTCAAGAAGTCCCTCATTTTCCCATGCTGATGTTCCCTCAAACCAAAGGTCAGCTTCCATCAATCAAGCCCTTATGTGCCCAGTTGTGGTCATCCAATGTCCCCTGCTAGGTATGTATCTTAATGGGAATCAAATTCTTAACATAATGAGCTTTGGCTGATTTTGTTTTGTCTAACCTCACCTTTCTAGATTTTCTGTAATGTGGCTTTTCTTCACCTCTAGCCAAAATTCTACTGGAAGACTTGAATGTAATTCCAGCATTTGTTTGTGAACTTCCAACTTTGATATGTTATCTGTTTGGTTATCTATATGTGATTTATTGGGAGATAAGAAATAATCTCCACTTTCTAATACACTCTATATGTGATTTATTGGGAGATAAGAAATAATCTCCACTTTCTAATACACTCTATATAGCCCCATATAGCTGATTTATCAGGAAATCCTTGCATCACTTTCTGTACTTTATACTTGTCCAAGTCACTGACGGTGGTTTGTGTATCTGTTTTTGTAATAAATTTGTTTTATTTTATTTTTTTTGGAAATGTTCTCATTCTGTCACCCAGGCTAGAGTGCAGTGACACAATCACGGCTCACTGCAGCCTCGATCTCTGAGGCTCAGGTGATCCTCCAGCCTTCCAAGTAGCTGAAACTACAGGCACCCACCACCACGCCTGGCTAGTTTTTATATTTCTTTAAGACACAGGGTTTGACCATGTGCCCAGGTTGGTCTTAAAACTCCTGGGCTCAAGCGATTTGCCCACCTTGGCCTCCTCAGAGTGAAAGGATTACAAGCATGAGCCACTGAGACTGGCCTTTTTTCGTAATGGATTCTATAGGTAACTCATGGTGTGAGCCATGCCTTACTCCACAGCAAGATCACAAACTAGTAATTACCAGATGACCTTGACTACGTAGTTGGCAAAGTGTTCTTCATTCCTCTTTTTTTTTCTTTCTCTCTCTCTTCTTCTACCCACTCTTCTCTTTCTTCCTTTCCTTTTTTCCTCTCTTTCTTTTATTTATTTCCTTATTTTTGTGGCCCAAGTTGTCTGTATGTTTGCTTTATACGCTGTGCTTGAAACAAAAGATCTGTAAGCATGAAGCAATTCACAATTTCCTCTTTAGGGAATTCAGCCTCTTATATTTATACTTATTATTATTCTAATTCCTAGGGTTATCTAGGAAAGTGTCAGTCTTCCATTACGGATAATTTAGAACCACAGTGGCCATTTGACAGACTTTAAATTTTAACAAGTTTTCACAACCTAAAGAGTTCCAAAACAGAAAGAATTAGTAAATGAGATTTTTAAAAGTCTAAGTAAGCTCTACGCTGGTAAGTTTTAAAGATGAACAAATGCTTGTATAAGTTTTAAAAATCAGAATTTAACAATTTTCAACATGAGAGAAAAATTAGACTCCCACTGCTTCAAATGTTGTGGCTCTTTAAGAAAATCTGCAAATGCTTGTTAAGCTGTAGCTCAAAGGAAAAGAAATTTAACTCCCAGTTAAAAAAATGGCTCTGTGTACTATATTACAAGATAAGAAGCAAAGCACTGATACCAGATTGTCAGTGTTTTAAAAATAACTTAAGAAGCTTTTATGTGATATACAAATATAGTGAGAATTCAAGTAATATAATCTACTGAAGATAAATCCTGTTATTCATCAAGTATGATAATGTCTTCTTCCGGATTATTATTTTTTGAGACAGAATCTCGCTCTGTCACACAGGCTGGAGTGCAGTGGTGTGACCTCAGCTCACTATAATCTCCGCTTCCCAGGTTCAAGCAATTCTCCTGCCTCAGTCTCCTGACTAGCTGGGATTACAGGCACATGTCACCATGCCTGACTAACTTTTGTATTTTTATTGGAAACAGAGTTTCGCTGGGTGCGGTGGCTCAAGCCTGTAATCTCAGCACTTTGGGAGGCCGAGGCGTGTGGATCACGAGGTCAAGAGATTGAGACCATCCTGGTCAACACAGTGAAACCCCGTCTCTACTAAAAATACAAAAAATTAGCTGGGCGTGGTTGCGCGTGCCGGTAATCCCAGCTACTCGGGAGGCTGAGGCAGGAGAATTGCCTGAGCCCAGGAGGCAGAGGTTGCAGTGAGCCGAGATCGCGCCATTGCACTCCAGCCTGGGTAACAAGAGCGAAACTCTGTCTCAAAAAAAAAAAAAAAGAAACAGTTTCACCACGTTGGCCAGGCCAGTCTTAAATTCCTGAGCTCAGATGATTTGCCCACCTCAGCCTCCCAAAGTGCTGGGATTTCAAGTGTGAACCACTGTGCCTGGACCCTTCTTTCTGATTTTATCACAATGTAAAAACCATGTTAACAAAATATTCTAGTTTATGCAAAACTTAGGTTTACTTTACTTCAGAAAGTCAAATTATTCTGAAACACCTATGTTTTCTATACCTATTGCACTCATCAGAAAAGCTAGTTTGGCAAACTTCTTCTGTAAAGGGCCTTACGGTCACAACTCTGCCATTTTATCAAAGCAGCCATGGGCAATATGTAAACATATAAACGAATGGGCAAGACTATGTTCCAATACAAGTTTATTTACAAAAACAGGTGGATATGGTCTCCAGAGCCATAGTTTTCCAACCCTTGGGAGAAAATGTCTATCAATTTTAAAAATCAACAGTAATTATATTGTTATTTAAGGATCATTTTAAATTAAAAGATCTCTAATTCACTTAGACAAAATGATCTTGAGAGTTACTAATAAATAATTTCTGGTCACACAAAAAGTTCCAGCTTTTAGCTGCCTTATACTACACATCTAAATGATTTTCATTTAAAAAAAATTAAAATCTTGCTACCTTCTCATTATTTTAAATATTATGTTGACTTTTTGATTAATTAGATAGTCACAACTATTGTTCTTGTCAAAAGCTCCCCTGACAATCCTTTTTGATGATGACTTTTCCAAATTCAGAATAATGAAACAGATCGTAACAGATTATGTCTTTCCATAATATCTGCCTTTCAGGTTTCCTAAAGCGCCACTGAGCAAGCACAAAGATTTGCTCTTTCACTTACAAAAGTGTAATAAACTAATCTGGGTTAGCCTAACTGACTCCATCTTAGCTGCAAACGTGACAAGCTCTCTCGAGCCTCTCCCTCTCCCTCCCTGCCGCAGCCCCTCTGGTGCATTACTGGGTCATGCTGCACTCAAAGCTTTGAACCGTTAAGAGTGGTTCACATTGTTCACAGCACCTGTGACCATCGTAACCGAATCCTGCTTGGCAAGTGTATCTGCTATTGTGAATATCTTCCTTGGTGATTGATTGCACAGAAAGTCCCTTCTGCTACCCCCGCTTAGTGATTGTATGAAAGTACCCATAGCAACCAACAATCTCGGGAACCTCCTGCCCACTGATTATCAGCCTCCTCCTCCTCCTAATTTGCTTGTTCTGCTTCTGTAAAATTCCACTTCAGCTAGGCTGCCCTCGCCCCTACCTAAATCAAGGTATAAAGGGAAATCAAGCCCCTTCCTCAGGCCAAGAGAATTTGAGCGTTAGCTGACTCTGTCACTGGCTGAATAAAGGACTCATAATTTGAACTCAGAGCGTGGCATTTCCTGCTAACTCGTTAGGATATTAAAAAAGATACTAGAAACAATCAGGTTTCTTTGACATAATTCAGAATTTATGTAGCCCAGAACTACTGTGACTATGCTTTTGTTTATATAACCCAGGTATATTAAAAACCAAAAGCTAAAAAAGAGAAGTTTGGTCTTTCTAGGCTAATTATATATAAATAACTTGTTATTAAAAGATACCTGGGCCGGGTGCAGTGGTTCATGCCTGTAATCTCAGCACTTTGGGAGGCCGAGGCAGGCAGATTGCCTGAACTCAGGAGTTCAAGACCAGCCTTAGCAACATGGCGAAATCCCATCTCTACTAAAATACAAAAAATTAGCTGGGCATGGCAGCATGTGCCTGTAGTCACAACTACTTGGGAAGCTGAGGCAGGAGAATTGCTCGAACCTGGCAGGCAGAGGCTGTAATAACCCAAGATCGTGCCACTGCACTCCAACCTGGGAGACAGAGAAAGACTCTGTTTGAAAAAAAAAAAAGAGATACCTGTCCCAGCAATAACGTGCTTGTCAAGGTGGATAAGATGTATATTCACATTCATGTACACACAGGTTATGACTTTCTATAAATTAATTTTGAGAAAGAGTGTATACCTAGGTTTAAATACCCTCGTTAATTTGGGATAATCATAATACTCCTTCATTGTCTATAATGTGTTTTGACTTCAAGGTAGTTACGTATTTCATCCATATAAATTAATTAGGTTTCATACCTCAATAGATTATTTAATTTTTTGCCATTATGAAACTGTTATTTATTATATTAAGTTAACCAGAGCCTTTGGGCCTTAACAACTACCACAAGGTTTTCCAAACTCAAAACTACTGACATTTCGGCCCAGATCATTCTTGGTTGTGAGGGGTTTTCTTGTGCCTTGCCTGTTGATGACTACGTAGCATTTTGGTTGAGCTATTAAATGGTGGATGATTATTGTGATATGAATGTGGGAAGTAAGTTTAATCATATATAGTTGGTCACAGGCCTAAACTGCGCTATTGCTGTTTTATTTAACAATGTCTTGCTGCTTTCTATGCATTAAGATTTTGGTATAAACATTCTGTGGATAGTCAAAAGAAAGCCACAGTATTTAAGCTGACCAACTTAATATTCCAACTGGATAGGAGGTGACCAATTAAGAACTAAAAGCAGTATAGTTTGTACAACTTAGCAGCAGTAGTTTAGTGAATTTTAGTTTCTATGAAAGGCTTAGATTTTTTTTTTTTTTTGAGACGGAGTTTCACTCTTGTTACCCAGGCTGGAGTGCAATGGCGTGATCTCAGCTCACCACAACCTCTGCCTCCTGGGTTCAGGCAATTCTCCTCCCTCAGCCTCCTGAGTAGCTGGGATTACAGGCACGTGCCACCATGCCCAGCTAATGTTTTATATATATATATATATATTTTTTTTTTTTTTTGAGACGGAGTTTCGCTCTTGTTACCCAGGCTGGAGTGCAATGGCGCGATCTCGGCTCACCGCAACCTCCGCCTCCTGGGTTCAGGCAATTCTCCTGCCTCAGCCTCCTAAGTAGCTGGGATTACAGGCACGTGCCACCATGCCCAGCTAATTTTTTGTATTTTTAGTAGAGACGGGGTTTCACCATGTTGACCAGGATGGTCTCGATCTCTTGACCTCGTGATCCACCCGCCTTGGCCTCCCAAAGTGCTGGGATTACAGGCTTGAGCCACCGCACCCGGCCATGTTTTATATTTTTAGTAGAGACGGAGTTTCACCATGTTGAACAGGATGGTCTCCATCTCTTGACCTCGTGATCCACCCGCCTCAGCCTCCCAAAGTGCTGGGATTACAGGCTTGAGCCACCGCGCCCGGGTGAAAGGCTTAGATTTTAATTTAATATTTTAGATTTCACATTTTAGTTACTTACTACTTATGTTTTATGTCAGGTTTTACAGTGTCAGTAAATAAATATGAATTTAACTTCTTTTTAAATGTTAAAAAAAATAACTGAGGACCCAAAAGACTTTTAGTTTATATAATTATAGATATTTGTCATGTTAAAAATTTAAACAGAGAAATTTTAAGATATTAATTCACTTAAAAATAACAATAAACTATTAATGTTAACATAAACAAGTTATAAAAATAATCTTTTCTAAAACAAAACAAAAAAATGAAAGATAATGTTTTAAATTTTTGTAAACCTTTTAAATGGCTGGTTTTTAATAAAAGACACCTGGATTCTCATATCTGCGTCCACATTCAATCTATGGCAATATGTTTAGGTTGAAATATATAAAGAAAATCATATATATGACATATATGAAGAAAATCATATACATGGAGTATATGAAGAAAATCCAGCCTCTCATAGATACATAACTGGAAAATGGCAGAATATTTTACTAGTTCATTCAGATAACTGTGGATATTTTTCTTTGATACCACCCTAAAACTTAAGAAATGGTAGTGTCTGGTAGGTTAGGTGCAATGTGGAATATAAAATCGTATCTGTCAACTTTTCATATTATGTCACATTAAAATCATTTTACTTTGAATAATTGTTTACCACCCATAATTTTGTAACATCCATATACTGGTCATTTGGAAAACTGATTCAAAGAGTTATGCAGATCTTTGAAATGTTGACCTAGTTCACTATACAAGATCAAAAAATCACGTTAATATTACCACTCATCTCCTCAAAAAAATCTTTATGTATCAGGAAGCTATAAAGCTCAAAATGATGAATATATATTTTACAAAATTCCAATTTTTACATGACAGACTGAATTGTATCATTGGCAACAAATATTATTAGTTATTCTTGAAGTAACAGGCTCACTTGCTAGAAAATGTCTTCCTAATACCTAAGTCTGAATAACCATAGTTTGTCATTCTTTGAAGAAAAATATGGTGTTTTGTGAAAAAAGCAGTTAGTTCAACTCACAATTTAAACAACTGTACAAGTGGTTTCCTTCAAGGGAACCATCATACTTTGGTATATTGCAGAAGACTTTAATGGATACTTCCCATTTCATTATATAGAATATTTTTTAAATGTATATATAATCAAGGGTTGAGATTTAATAAAATGTATACTAACTGCTTCTTCAGGATGTTCTTAAGTGAAACTGGAATTTTTCTGAACACATTTTCTTTGTGTGTGGAGATAAAGAATATGATAATTACTAGTACTATTTGGTGCCTCTTCCTTTGCTCATGCTAAAGCAGAGAAGATTTACCACGGCTTCCACACCACGAGTGGAAGTGTCACCACAATGAAAAAGGTAAACCTCTCAGTACTGTTACGAGAATACTTTTTTACTTTGGGAAAGGTTCAGTCCACTGAAAGGTCTTCAGACCACACTTTGAGAAGCCCTGCCCTACCCAGAGTAAGAATTATGTCCAGGACTAAGGATAAAGCCAAACTACACCTGCATTCAAAAATCAATTCTTAAAAAGATCACTGTGATCTGCTATTAATTTCACTGCTTTCCTGAACAGTTCTAAATAATTATTAGGAAGATAATAAAATCCTAAGTCACTACAACACAGCATCTATAATATTTAGTATACAATGAGAAATTATAAGACTGGTAAAGAAGCAGGAAACTTTGATATGAGATTTAGAGAAAATACAGTCAATAAAAGCAAACCCACAGAACCAAATGTAAATTCTAGAACTACGAAATGTACATGAAATAAAATTTTTATTGGATAGGCTTAACAACAATTGGACACTATCAAAGAAAAGAAAAAACAGTGACTTGAAGACAGGTAAACAGGTATTAACAAACTGAAGTACAAAGAGTAAAATGACTAGGGGTTCTACCCAGTGATTGGTGATACCATTTAAGTGGTCTAACACACATGCAATTGGAGTCTTAGAAGGAGGAAAAGTACTAAAGAAAGAGGAAAACGTATTTGAGGATACAATGGCTGACATTTCTGCAAATGCAATAGAAAATATCAACCCAACTGGGTACGGTGGCTCACACCTGTAATCCCAGCACTTTGGGAGGCCAAGGTGGGTGGATCATGAGGTCAGGAGTTTAAGACCAGACTGGCCAACATGGTGAAACCCCGTCTCTACTAAAAAATACAAAAAATAGCTGGGCATGGTGGCTTGTGCCTGTAATCCCAGCTACTTGGGAGGCTGAGGTAGGAGAATTGCTTGAACTGGGACCCGGGAGGCAAAGGTTGCAGTGAGCCACACTGCACTCCAGCCTGGGCTACAGAGTGAGACACCATCTCAAAAAACAATAATAATAAAATAAAATAAAAATAAGCCTACCGATTAAAGGTATGGGTAAAAGGAAAGGGATCAAAGCCATGATAAATGTAAGGAAACTATAAATCTGTGTTAAAATAACCAGGCACTTCAAAGCTACAGCTGACTGTAAAACTAGAGCAGGAAAATTTCATAGAAGATGAACCTGTAACACCTTGTTTATCAGAAAATCATGACGTACTCAAAGAGTGATGGAGATGTGCCAAAAAGCCGTAGAATCTATCATGAAAGGATTCCCACTGACCAAATCTGGGACAAGCTCCAATACCTTGATTTTCAAAACAAATAACAGAAAAAAATAGAATACAGCCCATTGACTAGAAATCCAACATATGAACAAATGAGAAGTTTGAGAGGTAAACACAATATTTATTTATTAATTTAGACAGGGTATTGCTCTGTCACCCAGGCTGGAGTGCTGTGGCACAATCTCAGCTCACTGCAGCCTCAACCTCTCAGGCTCAAGCAATCCACCCAGCTCAGCCTCCTGAGCTGCTATAACTACAGGCACGCACCACCACGCCCAGCTAATTTTTTTGTAGAGATGAGGTTTTGCTATGTTGCCCATGCTGGTCTCAAACTCCTGGCCTCAAGTGATCCACCTGCCTCAGCCTCCCAAAGTGCTGGGATTACAGGTGTGAGCCACCACTGTGCTCAGTTCCACAATATTTAATAGTTTCAAAGTTTCTATCCACAAAATACTTATTGAAGGATAAAAGAGTAACTGCACAAGGAGGAAGCCAGCAGACACCACTTTAATCAAGTACTCAGAGTGAATAACATGAGTAATTACAAATCATTCACACTACCCAACAAAATGCAAGGAGAAGAACGAAGCTCAATTCTGTGATAATCCTGCCAAAGATCCGTACTCTAAATCTAATCATGAAGAAAGAACAGACAAATCCCAATTGAGGAACACGGTACAAAATAACTGGCCTGTAATCTTCAAAAGCATCACAGACATATATGCAAGTCAAGGAAAGACATGAACTGTTTCAGACTGAAACAGACTAAACAATCCAAATTCCACATACAAGAACATCAAAACAATATATTATCTGGCCCCTTCCTATCTCCCTGGCCTAACTTCTTAGCACATGTTCCTTTAATAACTCTACCCTAGAGTTCTGATAAAGTTCTAGCAAAGTTCGTTTCCAACGATAGGGCCTTTGCATTTGCTGTTCACTGTGATTCATCTGTTCCTCCCCCAGATAGTCACAAAGATTGACTCCAGGCTCCACATTTCTATTCAAGAAAGCGTTCCCTGATCATCTTATCTAAATTAGCCCTGCCAGTCCCCATCATTTCTATTCCCTTATGTTTATTTTTTCCAAAGAATTTGGTTCATTACATACTATTTAACTATTTATTGATTTACTTATTTGATATTTCTCCTTTACTACAAAGTAAGCAAATGAAAATGTGCAAGTTATCAAATCTGGTTCATGTTTCAATTGATAGTGCTCAGCACAATGCTGGCCAGGAGCAGACATTCATTATAGTATTTGCAGAATTTATAAAATCTGGTTTCTTTGACAATGGTTATGAAATAAATGCCCTATAATGCAAATCCAGCCCCTTAGCCATTAAAGGAGAGAGGTGATTGCAGGGAGGGCCTGTGAATGGCATAAAGCTCACTGAGGAATGGGGAAGAGCAATGTGCTTAAGGAACCCATTTCTAATGCAGCAAGTATAAAAAAACACGCCCTTGGGAAGTGGGAAAAGAAATTTACCTGGTTTCTTCAAAGTTAGCCCTTTAATTTCCAGTGCAGAAAAACTGATGTTGCAAAGAGGAGATTCTAAATTATTTCAGGCAGATGACCTTACCCAGTGACACCAAGTTACTATAGTTCTCCAACATCACATCCACGTACAAGTCCCTCTGAGCAGGGTCCAGGCATTCCCACTCCTCCGGAGAGAAGTCGATGGCCACATCCCTGAACGTCACCAACCCCTAAAACCAAAAATCCATGTATTACTTGTGAAATTCAAGAAAACATTACCAAGTGGAAAAAAGAAGGTATGAAGGATAAACTACAAAGAAGGGGAGAAATACAACAATCAAACAGGCTGAAAGCCTCTGATGTAAGTAGGAAAAAGCAAGAAAATCAGTGTGAATAAAGCAGAATGCCAACATGTTCTAGAAGAATCTTGTTATAGCAGAAAAACTTCCCAGATACTATAAGATAACTCAGCTATCCAGACCTGTCTGGTAACGTATTTTAAAAATCCCAGTTTCTTCTCTGTTAAAAGAGTGTGAGTGTGCGTGTGTGTGTGTGTGAGTGTGTGTGTACATCATGTGTATTTACAAAGTGCTATATGCCTTCCTCAAAAATTCTTTGTGAAAGTGAATTGCTTACCATCTTTCCCCTTTAATAAGAAAACAAGGCCAGGTACAATGATTCACGCCTGTAATCCCAAGCATTTTGGGAAACTGAGGCAGGTGACTCACTTGAGGTCAGGAGTTTGAGACCAGCCTGGCCAAAATGGTGGAATCTCGTCTCTACTAACAACACAAAAATTAGCCAGGTGTAGTCGCAGATTCCTGTAATCCCAGCTACTTGGGAGGCTGAGGCAGAGAATCATTTGAACTCGGAAGGTGGAAGTTGCACTCCAGCCTGGGTAACGGAGCAAGACTCTGTCTCCAAAAATAAATAAATAGAGGAAACATGAAAAGTTTTTGTACTATAAATCTTTATTTTATAAAAATGATTCCCATTAAATTAAGGACTATCACCAAGACTCAAATACATCACTGATAGATTACATCATAAGCATTTTTTCTTATGATGAATTTAAACAATATTTTTTATTTGCTGCAATTCATTTTATCCTCTGGATATATGAGATTAATCACTCAATTATATCTGTACATTTAGGCTGAACAAAACTTCTGTAGATTTTCTTTTTTTTTTTGAGACGGAGTTTTGCTCTTGTTACCCAGGCTGGAGTGCAATGGCGCGATCTCGGCTCACCGCAACCTCCGCCTCCTGGGTTCAGGCAATTCTCCTGCCTCAGCCTCCTGAGTAGCTGGGATTATAGGCACGCGCCACCATGCACAGCTAATTTTTTGTATTTTTAGTAGAGACAGGGTTTCACCATGTTGACCAGGATGGTCTCGATCTCTTGACCTCGTGATCCACCCGCCTCAGCCTCCCAAAGTGCTGGGATTACAGGCTTGAGCCACCGCGCCCAGCCAACTTCTGTAGATTTTCTTAACTGTGGAAATTCATCATCATCTAGACCTTAGGCATCAACTTACCTGTTACTGTCAACTACCCCTCGCTTAATACTTTCCTTGTTCCTGAATTAGAGAGTACTGATAGAGGATGTTGCACGTGACACAAATGTCACTCATGACCTACACGTCCTGGTTGATGACAAAATGACTTCAAAGTCGACTGGTTCAAAATCCACTTGTGGTAGACTCCTTTGGTAACTCCAGAGACTACTGGTCTTCACCTCTTAGGTAATTTCTGGGAAGAACCACTCATTCCCCTCTCTCTAATCTCAAGGGCCTCCCAACAAATGCAACCTTAGATAAACTAAGGTTGAGACCAAGCAACCCCAAAGTCCATCTTATCTCTGTGGAAAATTTGGGTCTATAGAGAAGCTCCAAGTTTTTGCATGGGGTCCAATGGGATCCTTATCACTACCTAAACACACTACTGACCTGACACAGGAATGAGAAACTCAGGTAACGGAAATGGTGCAGATGTGGCCAAACAGAGGTGATACCAAAAGGCATCACTCAAGACAGTCAAGACGGTTAAACATGAAAGTGCTCCCGGAGAATGCACAAACAACTAACATCGTTCTTCTGGGTGACCATCCAACTGTCTAAGGGCAGAGTGTCTTGATTGGCTTCTTTGGTAGCCACCTTCTAAAAGCAGCATTTTAACCTAAATTTAAAAATACTGCTGTTTTCAAAATCCTTGCAGTTTTTCATTCTCTTCCCTTTATATGAATCCTGTTGGTACCTTTGATAGAGGAAATCAATGCACTATAGCTTTTCCTTGTATACAAGTAAGTGTGTGGTTAACTATATTTCTTTGAGTTATCCTTAACAGAAGCTTAAATATTCCCCTCAAAAGACTCCACTGCTCTATCACTGCTCTCACTAGAAGACTGGGAACACAGGAGATGTTGAATAATATGTTCAATGAATATGACATTGATTAGAAAGGGGAGGGGCACCAGGGTAGGACACTAGGCTATTTGGCACCATCCTCCACTGGTAGGAAGAACTGAGCAGGTTCAGGGATGGAGTTCTGTCAGAGAGAAGGCTTTAGGAAAATTAAGGAAAAGATTCACACACCCTAAAAAAACACAGTATTTCATGGAGAGAAAAATACCAACTTACATCAGTCATGGTTCTGGAATTCCAAGAATTAATTAATGCTCCATGGGATTCCTCTACTGACGAAGCACAGAATCCAGAAAAGCCAGAACTGGGAAGGGAAAACAAAGTATTAAACCAGATGTGCCTCAGTGATGTCATCCTAACTTAAACTAATAGAAGATCTTATCTTCTCCATGCCTGCTTCTACTACACATCCTACATGCCATTTATGGAATACAAACTTTCACCCTAAACTCCAAAGTTCTTTAGCAGGGAGATTTCTGGCAGTGTCTGGTTCTGAGGATGTGAATCTGGACCTGGGATTCAATGATTCAGTACTGCCCAGGAGATCAGATCATCCTCCTTCCATTCCTACCTCTCAGGAATACCTGTCATGGTCCAAGCTACAATGTCCTTCATGGGCTCAGGACTGAAGGAAGTTGGTCAAGACATGGGAGCTGGACAGGATGTATAAGGAATTCATTGGGAACCCAAAAAGCTGACTATCTAATGCATCTGTCAGAATATTCATGACATGACATATCATGCAGTGAGTACATGCTGACTTAGGGAAATAATCAAGATACACTTAATAGAAAAAGTAGGTTATGAGATTTATGGTATGATTACATTTATAAAATACATATATATCCATACAAAAAGACAATTAGACATCAATAGATGAAAAAATGTTTATAAAGTTATACATCTCAAGAAAGAAATAAAAAAATAAAAAATAAGGTTATATATCCATATATATGAACAACATTCATATTTTCATTATGATCATAATGTTTTTCATTTAGGCAATCCACATAATAATTGTAACCATGGCCATGTATTACACAAACTCTATAATTTCTACATATGCCTATGTCTTGCCCAGAAAAAAAAAAAAATGAATGAAATTCCCCAAATTATGCCATGGATATATTAATGAAATGTTAATAATATTAATGGAATAATATTAATATATCCATGGCATAACTTGGGGAATTTCATCCTTTGTCCTTTTTTTTCATTTTTATTTTTTGGGGGTTTTTTTTGCTCCCCCTCCATTAATGAGGTTTTTTTTTTTGAGACGGAGTTTCGCTCCTGTTACCCAGGCTGGAGTGCAATGGCGCAATCTCGGCTCACCGCAACCTCCGCCTCCTGGGCTCAGGCAATTCTCCTGCCTCAGCCTCCCGAGTAGCTGGGATTACAGGTATGCGCCACCATACCCAGCTAATTTTTTGTATTTTTAGTAGAGAAGGGGTTTCACCTTGTTGACCAGGATGATTTCGATCTCTTGACCTCGTGATCCACCTGCCTCGGCCTCCCACAGTGCTGGGATTACAGGCCTGAGCCACGACGCCCGGCCCATTAATGAGGTTTTGATCTTGCTTTTCTTATCCTGACTGATGGATTTATTTTGTATGTGAACCTGTCTTAGACATGGTACCCTCCAGATAACTGCTGAATCACCTGATCCTATTAGGCTCACTTTGCAACTAACATTAGTAGAATAAAAACTGTAAGGTATAAACTTTACAGAATAAATTCCATTTGCCTCCAAATGCTTGATCACGATTCAACAGTATTGCTTATAACTACCTTCCTATGAGGTCCTTAAAGTAGGTCCCCTAGACTGCCTACTGGCCTTTGTTGCTGGCTGCTGGCTGCTTGCTGCCTTATCCCTAAGCATATTTTGTCTTTAAGGTAACAACTACGTCTTCTAAACAATTTATTACTCCCTAAGTACAAGTATCACAGGGTCAGGGATTTGGGGCAAATTATTTACCCAAAACTTCACTTCCAGAAATGTATTCTTAAGAAATAGCTAGGCCGGGCGTGGTGGCTCACACCTGTAATCCCAGCACTTTGGGAGGCCGAGGCGGGTGGATCACGAGGTCAAGAGATCGAGACCACCCTGGTCAACAAGGTGAAACCCCGTCTCTACTAAAAATACAAAAATTAGCTGGGCATGGTGGTGCGTGCCTGTAATCCCAGCTACTTGGGAGGCTGAGGCAGGAGAATTGCCTGAACCCAGGAGGCGGAGGTTGCGGTGAGCCGAGGTCGCGCCATTGCACTCCAGCCTGGGTAACAAGAGCGAAACTCCGTCTCAAAAAAAAAAAAAAAAAAAAAAAGAAATAGCTAAAGAAGGCCCAGGTGAGGTGGCTCACACCTGTAATCCCAACACTTTGGTAGGCTGAGGAGGGCAGATCACCTGAGGTCGGGAGTTCAAGACCAGCCTAACCAACATGGAGAAACCCCATCTCTATTAAAAATACAAATTAGCTGGGTGTAGTGGTGCATGCCTGTAATTCCAGCTACTTGGGAGGCTAAGGCAGAAGAATCACTTGAACCAGGAGGCGGAGGTTGCGGTGAGCCGAGATCACGCCATTGCACTCCAGCCTGGACAACAAGGGCAAAACTCCATCTCAAAAAAAAAAAAAAAAAAAAAGAGAGAGAGAGAAAAGAAAAAAGAGAAGAAATAGCTAAAGAAGAAGCACACGAGATAAAACACACAAGGATATTCAACCAAAAATAATTTCTGATAACTAAAAATGAGAAACTACATAATAGTAAGCAGAAGGTTTAATAAATTACAGCCTGCCATACCCTCATTAGTTATGATGGTGTTGGTTCATATTAATTGATGAAGAAAGACATGCATGATCAATTCCTTAGGCAGGCAGGTTTGTAACTAACATAATGTGTGAGTTATATTCTGTTGAAATTAAGATAGAAGTTCTGGTGTCAGACCTTTAGGATGTGAATTTGAGCTTTATAGTTACTAATTTCTCAACACTTCTGTTTCCTCATCAATAAGAAGGGTGAGAACAATGTCTACCACAGAAGAATAAGTAAGAAATCCATACAAAACAGTGAATGGTATATGATAATTGTTTATAAGTTGATTTTTTTTTCAGAGACAGGGTCTTGCTCTGTTGCCTAAGCTGGAGTGCAGTGGCACAAACACAGCTCACCATAACCCCAACCTCCTAGGCTCAAGTGTTCCTCCCACCTGAGTCTCAGGAGTTCAAGACCAGCCTGGGAAACATGGTGAAACCCCATCTCTATCAAAAACACAAAAAATTAGCCGGACATAGAAGCACACACCTGTGGTCCCAGCTACCTTCCCTCTGAGTTGGGAGGATCGCATGAGCCTGGGAGGTGGAGGTTGCAGTGAGCCCATATCACACCACTGCACTCCAACCTGGGTGACAGAGTGAGACAGTATCTCAAGAAAGAAAAGAAAAGAAAAAAACACCAAAACATTAAGAATGATTAATTAGAGGATGTGATTTTCAGCTTTCTTCTTTGTATGTCTCCTGATTGCTGAGTTTTTTTTGACCAAGCCTGCATTAATTCCATAATTGGAAATATAGACATTTCCAAATATAAAAAAACTGAGTGACAGGAGGGATATATTTCAGTCATTAAGAAAACTGAACAAATGGGGCCAACACTAAAAATCAGTGGGCCTGAAACAACTTACACCTACCAGCTCTTGAACATCCTGTAGCTGTTACTCTCGGCAATGAGATATGTGCACTGTCAAAATTCTCCTGTAAATCCACACAAATAAGATAAACCACCTTCAAAGTCTGAGGAAGAAAATAAATGTGCATAAAGAGAACAGTATTTGGTACAGGGTAGATGCTCAATAAGTATGGGTGGGCCTCTCTACTTCTTCACTGAATGACCAATTAAAGTAACATTTTAGATGTAATCTTTAAAATATGTCTTCCAAAACCCGTCTTATTAGATGGGATTGATATGTAACAAAATATTCCTGAGCACTTTCATCCATAACTGTAATGATTCCTTAAAATTGCATCATTTATATTTCTCCTCCGATTCTTTATAAATTTAATTTTTATTAGGTGCATATCATTCCATCATTAGATATACTGCAATTTACTTGGCTATTTTCATTCTATCGGACACTAATTTTTTCAAGCTCCTTCCTCAAAATTATAATCTTTTTTCCAGAACAACAGAGTGAGATCTTTTTGGGTCATGGTCACTTTTGATAACCACTTTTGATAACATGGACACTTTGCCCACTTAAAAAACACATTTACATATATTTACAAGAATTTGGTCTCAATTTCAAGGGGTTTTGGTCACCTGGAAGCTTGTCAATGGAACAAGAAGACCTCAGTTAAGATTTCCTGTTCTAAGGCTGGGCACAGAGGCTCATACCTATAATCCCAGCACTTCAGGAGCCTGAGGCAGGCAGATTGTTTGAGTCCAGGAGTTCGAGACCAGCCTGGGCAACACAGCAAAACCCCATCTCTATAAAAAATACAAAAAAACTGGCTGGGCTTCATGGCACATACCTGTAGTCCCAGGTACTCAGGAGGCTGAGGCGGGAGGATACCTTGAGCCTGGGAGGCCAAGGCTACAGTGAGCCATGATCATGCCACTACACTCCAGCCTAGGCAAAACACCAAGACCCTGCCTCAAAAAAAAAAAAAAAAAAAGTTTTCCTGTCTGAGATCATTTAAGCATCTGGTCACTTTTTAAAAAAATTTGCAAGCACCCATCATAATCAACTTCACATTTCTATTACTCTAATCTATAAAAAGTTGATGGGAAATAATCCAGAAAAGCCCAGTAACAGCAACTCAATATTCAGTAAGCCCCTATCATGGGGATGGCACTGCTCTAGAAAGCTTCATACATAATAACTCATCTTACTTCATCACACTTCCATTAGGTAGCTACTATTCTGTTCCTATTTTATGGATGTATCACAGAGGGCCTGAATCAATTGTCTAAGTTCACACAGCTAACAACTGGCAGAGCCAGGATTTGAATTCAGATACTTTAGATCCAGAGCCTTAATTTTAACTACAACATAAGACAGCTTCTTACATGCCACACAAAGCTGGACTTGAAACAATTCATGCTTAGCAATGTTACAGACTTCTACCCAAAGATTATATGAAGGTCCCCACTCTTGGTGCAAACCACAAATCTCTATGCTCAAAGTTCAATCATACTTCCACCACTAAAAGCCTCACAAAGCAGACAACATTGTCATATACTGCCAAAAATGTTCCCTTACTTAAAATCCCTCATACCTTGCCTTGCTTTAAGAATCATGGCTATGGGCCAGGCATGGTGGCTCACATGGCAATCCCAGCACTTTGGAAGGCCAAGGCCAGAGGAACACTTGAGCCCAGGAGATCAAGGCTGCAGTGAGCTATAACTGTACTACTGCACTCAGCCTGGGCAATAGAGTGAGACCCTATCTCTAGAAAAATTTAAAATATTTAATAATGACTACAGAAAAGATGAAAAAAATAGCCTGTATATGATACCACCTAATTACTAATCTCTTCAAATAATCACAGTCCAAAATAAAGCTCTAACAGCAATCTACAAGAGGTGACTTTCTATACCATCATAATGCACTGAAGAATTTGAATAATTCGGCATATGAACAGGTGGGTAAGAATTGAGGGGAAGAACAATAGGGGGTAATTGGGAGGAAATATGTACCAGCATGGCGGGTCATTTGACTGGGAAGACCCAGTCAAGATATTTTGGTCATTTGACTAGGAAGACCCAGTCAAAATATTTCAGGCCAAGGAAAGAAAAAGTTCTCATGACCTAGAAGCAAAGGTAATTGAATGCATATGTATAAAAAATTGTACGTATAAAAAAACTTCACCCAAATCTTGATTTCTAAATGTGCAAAAATCCTTTTCTCCTCTTCAAGCTCCTTAGAAATCTAGAAATCTGGCAAACTCGCAGCACTGTGGAAAAACAGTAACATAAGACACCAGCATTTCTAGCACACCACAGACTTAATTTAAAAAGACAAAACGAGAACAAAACGTTCTCTAAGGCCACTTCTGCCTCCATCCACACATAACCAAACGGAACGAAAAGGGAGGCTGGAGTCTGTCTCTGTGTTGAGGGCAATTCTTGGGGACAGCGGTCTGGTTGCAATGGCTCTGAAACATGTATCTCGCCACCAAAGAGCTCCTAGAGGCGCCTTTATAGGAATCCTACCTCTAGAACTTCCCCAGTCAAGAGCCTGTGGCGAGGACACTTCCAGATCTGAAATTCTCATCCTTCTTGCTTGAAACGTTCATTCTCGGGCTTAGCATAGACTTCTTTCTTGCGGTCATTTAACTGTGGCAGGCCCAAAGACAGGCTAAAGGGAACCTAGAGCATTTGGTCAAAGCAAATCACACAAATACGGCCACGCACCTCATCACCCCGTCACACATTCACAACTGCGCACACCTCCGCGGAGACACGCCCCGGCTCTGCCACACCATCTGAGACACACTATCCCTTGGCTGCTCGCGTTGCACACAGGCTCGAAGACCCGGCCCTCCCCTGACCCAGCGCCCCCGATACCACCCCCATCCTCACTGCCGCTTCCAATCCGGTCCGCGTAAAGGCCGCCGAGCCCTCTCAGCCTCACCCGGACTGATTACTTCTACGCACTGGGCCAACTTACCACGCAGAATCCAAGAACTTTGAGGACGCCGGAAGAGGATCCGGAGCCCGTGGCTAGTTTGGACCCAAAGGCTGATGGGAAACAAGAGCCCGGAAATGCTCGCAGGCTGGGAGCCGAGCCACGGGGAGTGCTTCTGGCAGGCAAGCTTGCCCCGCCCCTGAAAGACCCGTGTCCCCGAGACTTCTGGGAAATGCAGTCCACAGCGGGCGAGTCCCCGGAAGTTGAAACCGAGAGAGCAGGGATGCTCCCAGCGTGCATCTCGGCGTCCTCTGTGAAAAGCGATTTTCCGGAGACTACCGGGAGCTCTAGCCTTTGCTTGACGGTCTTTGGTGTTGAGTAAGAGCGAATTAAAAGGTTCTCAGCCTTCGCTGAGGAACGCATTCTGGAGTCTAGAACAGGCGGAGATGGGACTGGGGTGTCTGGGGAGTTAGACCTGAGCAAGCAGGGGAATCCGGGGTAGGGTCCCTGGAAATGAACTGAGCGACACCACCAGTTGAGCAGGGTGTGAGCGCCTGAAACAGTGTCTGGCAATTGAACAGATGGGTGTGTCTTGCTGTGAGGGAGTTTGTTAGTCCGATTCGGTGTGGGGGACCCTGCATGGACCTTGTTTATGGTCATAGGATGGTTTCTAAGTTTATGCCTGTGAGTCTGTTTCAATAGGTGTGAGATGAACCGTTAGAGATTTTATATGCCACTGTTGAAAGACAACAAGTGGTAGTGAGTGGGTATTGTGACCCTGGAGTGCAAAGGCGGCCATAAACAACACATAAGCAATCCAGCGTGGCTGTGTTCCGGTAAAACTTCACGGACTATAAAATTTGAATCTCATTCTTTTTTTTATAGAGTATGAAACCATTTATTTTGAAGCACACATTCATACACCAAAACCAATGCTATATATTCTCTGTCTCTCGTGTGTGTGCGTGTGTATGTGTGAAAAAAATGTTTTAAAGGAGACAACTAACTGATTCGGAGGTTACAGCAAAAAGATTAGGGCTGTGATGGTGTGGTAAGAACCTTTGGATATACATAGTTTTTAAAAAAGGGGATTGTCAGGCCGGGCGTGGTGGCTCACGGCTGTAATCCAAGCACTTTGGAGGCCAAGGCGGGCGGATCACCTGAGGTCGGGAGTTCAGGACCAGCCTGAACAACATGGTGAAATGCCATCTTAAAAAAAAAAAAAAAAATTATAAAAAGAGGATTGTCTAAAATACTAAAGCAAAATTTTATATTAAAACTAACAGAAAAAAAAGGAAGTGTTGCCAGGCGCGGTGGCTCAAGCCTGTAATCCCAGCACTTTGGGAGGCCGAGGCGGGTGGATCACGAGGTCGAGAGATCGAGACCATCCTGGTCAACATGGTGAAACCCCGTCTCTACTAAAAGTGCAAAAAATTAGCTGGGCATGGTGGCACGTGCCTGTAATCCCAGCTACTCAGGAGGCTGAGGCAGGAGAATTGCCTGAACCCGGGAGGCGGAGGTTGCGGTGAGCCGAGATCGCGCCATTGCACTCCAGCCTGGGTAACAAGGGCGAAACTCCGTCTCAAAAAAAAAAAAAAAAGAAAAAAGAAAAAAAAGGAAGTGTTACCTTTTAAGGGCTCTTTCTGGTCACTGATATCACCTCTCACACCCTCTGCCATCTCTCACCTCCTGGTCTCTCTTGCTTATCAAGAAAAGACTGCCTCAGCTGAGGTCGCTACCCTGGTTGATTCCCATCATCCAGTATTGTGGGTCTGAGTCCTCATCTGCAGGGTCCTTCAGCTCTTGGCATCCACTCCCATTTTTCATCTGGAACTTGATTATCACCAGCATCTGCTCCACCTCCAAACCACTGGTGGAAGCAGCCTCCTCTCTTCCCATGTTACTTGCTCAATGACTCCTACAAGTACTGCTTTGAATATTTTGGGGGTCTTTGGTTTTTAAAAATTTTTTATTTCCATGGGTTATTGGGGAATGGGTGGTGTTTGGTTACATGAATAACTTCTTTAGTGGCGATTTGTGAGATTTTGGTGCACCCATCACCTGAGCTGTATGGCACCCAGTTGTTAGTCTTTTATTCCTTACCCCCTTCCTGCCATTTACCCTGAGTCTCCAAAGTCCATTGTGTCATTCTTACGCCTTTGCATCCTCACAGCTTAGCTCCCACTTATGAGTGAGAACATATGATGCTTAGTTTTCCATTCCTGAGTTACTTCACTTAGAATAATAGTCTCCAGGCTGGGCACAGTGGCTCACACCCGTAACCCTAGCACTTTGGGAGGATGAGGCACGTGAATCACCTGAGGTCAAGAATTCAAGACCAGCCTGGCCAACATGATGAAACCCCATCTCTACTAAAAATAGAAAAATCAGCTGGGCATGGTGGTGGGTGCCTATAATCTCAGCCATTCGGGAGGCTGAGGCAGGAGAATCACCTGAACCTGGGAGGTGGAGGTTGCAGTGAGCCAAGACCACTCCATTGCTCTACAGCCTGGGTGAGAAGAGTGAAACTTCATCTCAAAAAGAAAAGAAAAGAATTACAGTCTTCAGTGTTATCCAGGCGAATGCCATTAATTAATTCCTTTTTATGACTGAGTAGTATTCTACTGTATACAATATACTACAGTGTCTTTATCCACTCATTGACTGATGGGCATTTGAGTTGTTACAGATTTTTGCAATTGCCAGTTCTGCTGCTGTAAATATGCATGTGAAAGTATCTTTTTCGTATAATGACTTCTTTTCCTCTAGATACCCAGTAGTGGGATTGCTAGATCAAATAGTAGTTCTACTTTTAGTTCTTTAAGGAATCACCACACTGTTTTCCATAGTGGTTGTACTAGTTTACATTCCCACCAGCAGTGTAAAAGTGTTCCCTGTTCACCGCATCCATGGCAACATTTTATTTTATTTTTTTATTACGGCCATTCTTGCAGGAGTAAGATGGTATCACATTGTGGCTTTGATTTATATTTCCCTGATTATTAGCGATGTTAAGCATGGTTTCATATGCTTGTTGGCCATTTGTATATCTTCTTTTGTGAACTGACTATTCACGTCCTTAGCCCACTTTTTGATGGGATTGTTTGCTTTTCCTTGCTAATTTGTTTGAGTTCTTTGTAGATTTGGGATGTTAGTCCTTTGTCAGATATATAGATTGTGAAAATTTTCTCCTGCCCTGTGGGTTGTCTGTTTACTCTGTGGACTGTTCCTTTTGCTGTGCAAAAGCTCTTTAGTTAAGTCCCAGCTATTTATCTTTGTTTTTATTGCATTTACTTTTAGGTTCTTGGTCATGAAATCCTTGCCTAAGCCAATGTTTAGAAGGGTTTTCCAATGATACCCTCTAGAATTTTTACCAATTTCAGATCTTAGATTTTAGTACTTGATCCATCTTCAGTTGATTTTTGTATGAGATGAGAGATGAGGATCCAGTTTCATTCTTCTACATGTGGTTAGCCAGTTATCCCAGCACCATTTGTTGAATAGGGTGTCCTTTCCCCACTTGATATTTTTGTGTGCTTTGTCAAAGATCAGTTGGGTGTATTTAGGTTTATTTCTGGGTTCTCTATTCTGTTCCATTGGTCTATGTGCCTTTTTTATACCAGTACCATGCTGTTTTGGTGATTATGGCCTTATAGTTTGAAATCAGGTAATGTCATGCCTCCATTGCTTAGTCTTGCTCTGGCTATGTGGGCTCTTTTTTGGTTCCATATGAATTTTAGGATTGTTTTTTTCTAGTTCTGTGAAGAATGATGGCAGTATTTTGATGGAAATTGCATTGAATTTGTAGGTTGCTTTTGGCAGTATGGTCATTTTTACAATATTGATTCTACCCATCCATGAGCATGGAATTTGTTTCCATTTGTTTGTGTCGTCTAAGATTTCTTTCAGCAATGTTTTGATGTTTCCTTGTAGAGGTCTTTCTCCTCCTTGCTTAGGTATATTACTAAGTATTTTATTTCATTTTATTTTTGCAGCTGTTATAAAAGGTGTTGAGTTCTTGATCTGGTTCTCAGCTTGGTTGCTGTCGGTGTATAGAAGAGCTACTGATTTGTGTACATTAATTTTGTATCCGGAAACTTTGCTGAATTCTTTTATCAGTTTTAGGAGCTTTCTGGAGGATTGTTTTCTAGGTAAACAATCATATTATCACAAACAGCAACAGATTCGACTTCCTCTTTACCAGTTTGGATGCCCTTTACTTCTTTCTCTTGTCTGATTGATCTGGCTAGGACACTCAATACGATGTTGAAGAGAAATGGTGGGAGTGAGCATTCTTGTCTTGTTCCAGTTCTCAGAGAGCAGAACTAAATGAAATTGCAACAAAAAACATAGAAGATAAATGAAACAAAAGCTGGTTCTTTGAAAAGATAAATAAAATTGATAGATCATTAGCAAGATTACCAAGTAAAGAAGAAAGAAAAATCCAAAGAAGCTCAATTAACTCTTTTAAAAATGCTTTCGGCCGGGCGCGGTGGCTCAAGCCTGTAATCCCAGCACTTTGGGAGGCCGAGGCGGGTGGATCACGAGGTCAACAGATCGAGACCATCCTGGTCAACATGGTGAAACCCCGTTTCTACTAAAAATACAAAAAATTAGCTGGGCATGGTGGCGCGTGCCTGTAATCCCGGCTACTCAGGAGGCTGAGGCAGGAGAATTGCCTGAACCCAGGAGGCGGAGCTTGCGGTGAGCCGAGATCGCGCCATTGCACTCCAGCCTGGGTAACAAGAGCGAAACTCCGCCTCAAAAAAAAAAAAAAATGCTTTCAACTTTTCCCCATTCAGTATTATGTTGGCAGTGGGTTTGTCATAGATGGCTTTTATTACATTGAGGTATATCCCTTGTATTCTGATTTTGCTGAGAATTTTATTATAAAGGGATGCTGGATTCTGTTGAATGCTTTTTCTGTGTCTATTGAGAGGATCATGTGATTTTTGCTTTTAATTCTGTTTATGTGGTGCATCACATTTACTGACTTGCCTATATTAAACCATTCCTGGTAT